ATCTCAACACCCAAACAAGGGCAAACACCTCCCTTTCGCAGAGTTTGTGTGAGGAAGCTCCAAAGAGCTTGTCAGAAGTTCCATGATCTTTTCATTCCACTGGTTCATGAACCGTTTGAAACCCCTCATATTTCAAAGGTGATGCTTTCAGACCCCGCAACCCTAGCTCCTCCATTTAGTAGATAAGCAAGTGTTGACATGGTACTATTATGCTTATGAATGTGCTGAGAAGTGGACGAATATTAAAAATTAAACAAAAAGCATTGCCTCCCTAAAGCAACCCCTTGTGCTAGTAAAACTGCTCTGTAAATGTGGGGGGTTGTTTCTCATTATAATCTTACAAAAACAGATCGGCAGGCCCCTCTGTCACAGCACCAATTGCTGGGTTCCAACGACCAATTCTTAATTTTATACTTCAGCAAGAACCATTTGTGACAACTAGGTAACTTAGATCAACTGGATGAATTTAAAAGGGATTCTTATGGGGGAGGGGAGAGGAAATGAGGAGCTGATACCAAGGGCTCAAGTAGAAAGCAAATGTTTTAAGAATGATGATGGCAACATATGTACAAATGTGCTTGACACAATGGATGGATGGATGGATGGATTGTGATGAGTTGTATGAGCCCCAATAAATTTTTTAAGTGATTCTTCAGAGACCATTAATTATGTAGATCATGCAATCTTCAAATCACACAATTTGGTTATATTTAAAAATAAGTAAAATGACTGAATTCTGAGAGCTTTTTCGCTAATGTAAAGAAAGGACCACATGTTTGGAGGTTTCAAAAACTGAAAAAATTCCATTGCCTTTTCATTCCCTTTACCACAAGTTTGGAAGCCCCTTTATATGTATTTTTTTTTCCTTTATATGCCTTTTTTTTTTTTTTAAAGAAATTTCGTTTTTGACCCGCTCTGTGTCCCTGGAGCCATGCAATGTTTTCTGGTGTGATTGTTTTGATTACAAAAAGGAAAGTGTGTGCCCCTGATGTAAGCAGTGAGTTGGGGTTGCACCTCACCACTTCTCCACACATGTAATTCAGCATCAACATGGCACACTCTGAGCAGTGTCTGCTATGTGTTTTGCCCTGTGCTTTATGGAGAGCATCTCAATATGCGGCTGGTTGCTCATGTCAGGATTCACAGTCTGGGAAACTCTGTTGAGGATCTCTCTGAGTTGGAATCGACTAGATGGCAGCGGGTTTTCAGATATCAGTTGTTAGCTTTATTTTACAAAACAAAAAACCCAATGGAGTAAGGAAGGGTTTGCAACTTGGCTAACATTATAAAACTTACAAACAGCAAAACTAGAGCTAAAACCCAGATTCATCTGGGCCACAGCTTTGACTTTTCTACAATGAGACATTTATTTCAATTTACTGTTTGGGGCACCTTGATAAAATGTTTGTTTACTATCTGGAACTTTGGGATTTTAACATGATAAAGACTGACCTGGACTAAACTGTCTCTAGAGGAAGAACTGCATGTCGATTATTCACAATGACGTGACTATAAGTGTCTACGAGCCAAAAGGCAAGCCCGTGGTCACTGAGGCATTTCTGACTCAGAGCAACTCGATGTAGATTTTCTGTGACTGTACATATTTCTGGGAGCGGACAGACTCATCTTTCTTCTGAGGAGTGGCTGGTGGATCAGGGTTAATAACTGACCCTGTGGCTAGCAGCCCAACATTGACCTTACAAGACCACCAGAGCTACTAAGGTCTAGAGGAAAGCATAAAAAGTACCAAGAGCTCAAGGAACACCCAGCAAGGTCAACTCCACCCCAATCAAAGTATATTATCATATTCAAACTAAATAAGACTAATATGTGTTAAATATATAATACGCATATATATATATGTATATATATATATATATCTTGAATGAAGACAAAGAAAGAAAGCCTAATTTAAGAGAAACATGGATAAGAATTGCACCAGTCTTCTCTTTAGAAACCACATAAGCATAAATACAGCATAAAATATTCAAAGTGCTAAAGAAAAAAAAGAAAAGTCACATTTTAAAATAAGCCATGGTTTACAACTAATTTACAAGGGGAAATTAGAAAATATTTTGAACTAAAAAAAAACCGATGTGGGATCAAGTTAATGCACTATTTGAAGAAAAATGTATTGCATTCAATGGTTATATGAGAAAAGGAGAAATCAATTATATAACGTTCTAGTGTAAGAAAACAGAAAAATAAGCGCACATTAAACTCAAAGTAATAAGAAGCACAACAGAGAAAACAGTATAAATCAGTGTAATGGAAAACAAAACCCAAAGTGAAGTCGTGCAACAAAAGCTGGGTTTTTGTAAAGGGCACTGAAATTGATACGCTCCCAGCTGCACCAGGAAAACATATTGACATATAATTAATAAGGAGGGAAGGATTTACAGTTTACTCCATCATGCCATTATTATATTGATAACACAGTCAAAAGTGTGGCAAGAAAAGAAAACTACACACCATTAGGCCTCAACAAAAATGGTCAACAGCAACTATGAGGCACACAAGTATGATTAGAGATCTAGAAGCAATAAATGGATAGATATCTCTCTATATATATCCACGATAAAAGGATATATACATGTATGTATATGTCAGGGATATATGTACACACATATAGATATGAGAAGTCATGGTGCCATAGAGCGCTACATGTGGAGCTGCTAGAAAGGTAAGCAGTTATAAGGCCCTCACTGTTCCATTGCGGAACGATGCAGCTATGTCCTCCTGAAGAGCTGCAGTCCTGGAAACCTGCAGGGGCAGTTCTACCCGGCCCTATGGGGTCACTATGAATCAGAGGTGATTCAGTGACATTGGCTTTGGTGTGTGCACACACGCACACACACACACACCAAACTCAATGTCAAATTACAAATATTATTTGAAAGATACCAATTTATTGAAGGACACAGACTACCTTCCTTCACGCAAGAAGAAAAGATAAATTTCAAAAAGACCCATCTTACTACCACTGAGCTGATGTTGACCCTGACAACCTTATATATAGGAAAGAGTAGAAAACCTGGTGGTTTAAAACTGCTGACCTCAAGATTAGCAGCCTGACACATAACCCACTAAGCCACAAGAACTCTTTTCCAAATCAAACAAACAAAACCACACTGACAAGTAGTAATAAATCTACACAAACTTTCCCATAATTAACTCCATGCGGCCAGCACTGCCCTGATAGTATAAGCAATGATTAGACAAGAGAAAGGAAAGAACTAGAAAGCAAAACAACATATGAATCAGGTTCTCCTTGAATTCAGATGTGAAAATTATCTGAATCTTGGTAATTCAAAGACTGCTTACAGAGTATAAGAAGTACATTATGACCAAATGAGGCTTATTTCTGAAATGTAACTGGCTTAGCATTAGAAAAATCAACCATATAACTCACTTTATTAACACACACTTTTTAAAAGAATTAACTTGAGTACCTCAATAATTAAAGAAAATACTTCGACAAAATTAAAAAATCCCAGCATATTATTCTCAAAAAATGCAAAATAGCAGAAGAAATCTTGAAAATGAGTAATTATAAAGTACAAAACTCACGCTTTCTGATTTCCAAACATACTATGAAGTTACAGAAATCAAAGCTTCCTGTTGCTGTTATAATGATAAATATATAGGCCAATGGAACAGAAGAGTCCAGAAATAAACTCCCACATTTAAGGTCAGTAGAATTAGAAGGATGCCAACTCCTTTCAATGAGTAGAAAAGTCTTTTTAACAACTACTACTGGAAATACTAGATTTTCATATGCAAAGGAATGAAGCTGGATCATACCTCATACCATATAGAAACCAAATCCCAATCATATCAAATCAGTGAAGGAATAAATGTGTGAACTAAGGCCATACAACTCATAGAAATAAATATAGTGATATCGTTTCAGGACTTAGATTTAATAAAAAATTCTTAAATATAGTATCAAAAGCACAAGTAGTAAAAAACAAAATGAAACCTTACATTATTAAAGTGAAATGTTAGAAATAACTTAAATATCCATCAACAGATGAATAAACCAACACGTATGGTAGATATGTACAAGTAAGTATTATTCAGCCATAAAGGGAAATGTATGTCTGATATCTGCTACCACATGAACGAACCTTCAGAACATGAGGCTCAGTGACATGGATCAGTCACAATAAAAGTGCACAATCCCACTGAGGTGAGCTATGTAGAGTAGGTAAATGTTTTAGAGACGAAAGATTACTCATGCGCTCACAGGGACATGGGGGGAGAGAGAAGAGAAAAACGAGCCATTACATAGGACAGACAGAATTACTATGAATGGAGGTAGAATAATTGGAAACGGTTGGTGATAACGGCTGCACAACATATGAAGATGATGAACATGATGTCACGGAAGCACACATGTCATTTTAAAATTTGGAAATAATAATATTGATATATAGATCACAGTTTCTTTTAGAGTCTCTCAGTGAACTGGAAGTGGACAGGAACTTTATGAAATATGTTACTTACAAAACAACATGGCATCGGTATTGAAAGAAGTCTCCTCTACAAAAGGAAAAGAGGAAGGAAGGAAGCAAGGGAAGGAGGGAGAAGTAAAGGAAGCATGAAGTTTGAATCTGGCAACATAAATGGGCCCTAACCGGGGCTGGCGTGGAGCGCGGTCCCGCCGCGGGGCGTGGCCATGGCAC